AAAATTATTTGATGTCTTCATTAACTTGCATACAAGCCTTATCAGCGTCTTCAGGTTTGGAAGAGATATAGATCTTGGTGTTGTCTGCCTATAGATGAGAAGAACACGGTGCAAGAGAGATACGAGCTGGCAGGTCCAGCTCGTATCAGGATTGAACCCTTTGGCACTCCCGACTTCAATTAGAGAAAGCTCCACTGATTTTTTCCAACTGTCTCACTCAGATATCTTCTCCTCAGATAATTATTAATGAATTCAACATCATTTTATGATATTCCTATATTATCCCAAAAAAAATATTTCGAAATCAAAAATTGTAAACGTATTCTATTTTTGAGATATCTTATGAAATTCACTCACAAGTTAAACTTTTTCTGAGAGATTACCTAAATGATACTTGATAATTAAACAATAAATAGAAAAATAAAAAATACTGAACAAAATTTGACATTGTAATAATTAACGTCAAACCTTCAAATCTTTGTCATCTCCTGATGATGACAAGCGTCAAGAGAGCTGATTTTTCATTTGGTGTGAAAAAAGTGTTTTCAATATAGTTACTTGTGTATCACGATGCATAAAATTTGCAGCTGGAGATGAAGTCAAGAGCTGTAATCATGCCCATTTTGCACATTTTTTCAAAATCTTATTAAATTTCATTTGGGTGATTGTTTTGCAATAAAAAGATTATACGAAAAGGAACATGAAAATCCTAAACTAATTCACAAAACTAGTTAGTTACTTTTTTGAGGTAATTTCAATTTTAATATAGCAATTGAGCAATTTGTTATAATAATCAATGGACATACTTTATTTCCAGTACTTTTTCGAATTTAGTTTTCATTTCAGCTTGTGAGTTCTTCATTAAAAACTCTTTTCCAAATTGTGGTCAAGTTTCAAGTACTGGTACTTGGTTCACCTTCCAGAATTTGATATTTCAGATACTAATTTTTCAATGTAGCCTTTGACTACAGCTGAAAGTTTCCATCCTCCGTGGCGTTTTAAAGTTAGTAAGTCTGACCTCGATTCTGCAAGCAATGTTGCAGAAGATCTGCGAAAACATTGTTTCAGTTCCAGTTGACACGTCAAAAATAGTACTTCGACCACGCCACTGAAGATGACTGCCGCAGTTGCAGTTGAAACGTTAACCAAAGAAGACCAGGGCAAACCCCGGAAACCAACCAAAACAGTAATCTACTTTTTGTAAAAAGTGATCTACTTTTTGTGCTAAATCAAAAATTGAGTTGTTGGCATAATGGATGGTTCAAAACATACTACCAATGGGAACTATCGTAGAAAAAAATTCAATTCACGGGAGAGGTTCCAATTCTTCTTGCAGGTCTGATAGCTATAAATGTTACTTAGATTTTCAATATCTGTTTCCTTATTCATACTATCCAGGTTTTTTTATATCTTCATAATTTCGAAGAATAGACTTTGGCATGTGTCTTTCTGAATATGGAACTTCTGCTCCAGTGATATGGTTTGATTTAAAATCCTGTGCACTAACATAACACAGGACAAAAAATTTAATTCCAAAAGTATTCTCAACGAAATGTTAGATATTAACAAAGGCCCAAATTGAGTACATTCTTATTGGGTAGCAGTAACGTCATTTGTGACTTATTATAAACTTACAGTGGGATTTTGCATTCCAACGTGCCTAATTTGCCTATTACCGCACGGAAGGCTGTCGGAATCAAGGCATAGATCTATAAAATATCACTACTTGTAGGAAACACCTTCGTCTCATATTTAACTCGATTTCAATACCTTTTTCTGGTTAAGACGTTATTTAAATAAGAAAGGTCTTGCAAATTATTAATAATATGTATCATAAAAATTGTATAGGATAGTTCTAGAATATATAATGATAATATGGTGTTCCATTTGATGGTTGTTCCAAAAGTTTTGTCCGTTATAATGTCATATGTTTTTGTAGCTCCTTATCTCAATAAATATTTATTCTACTGTGTTAGTCCAATCAACAAGTTCAAAAACATAAAAAAGGTCCTAAAAATTTGAGCGATAGCTCATTCGATTTGGAATCACCTCTATAAAAATGTTTTTGAAGGATTTTGGTGCATTTTTTTTTATACTGGACTCGATTCATTCAAATGTTAAGAAGATACTAGATTTTTTCAAAATTTCAAAATGACATTTTATGTTATAAAACAAATATTTCTTTTGATAAACTCTCTTTGGCGGCAGCGCGCGCATGCCGTAACAGCCGCGCGGAACCCGATTCTCAACGTCAAATTATAAATAATGGAGATAGAGTTTCAGAAGTCGGGACTTTTTATCGGAAATTTCCTCCTCTTCAACGAGTTTTTTTCAAAATTGCTCAAATATCAATATTTTTTGAGTTATTAACGAAAAAATAAATACATTTTTTTATCTTATTTTGTTAATAACAATTGCAATTTTTTACTTGCACCAAAATCCTTTGAAAACATTTTTCTGAATCGAATGAGCTATCGCTCATATTTTTAGGACCTTTATCTCTATTTTTCATGTTTTTGAACTTGTTGATTAGATTATGTCCTGGTATATACTGATCGATAGATAATTTTGTAATCTATTCATTATTGCTGTTAATTTTTTCCAATGATGTCGTTGAGACATTTGGCAATGATAGTGTTGGTTTGCGAAATTTTCTTTCTGAGATTTCAACCTTGAAGATGAGCCCCAAAGTCGTCGACCTACAGTAATCCAGGAGGAGCATTTGAGCACCCTGATGGAGATTGATCCATCACAAACGGTGCGTGTGTCACCTCGCAAACCACAAGAGAAGTCTAAATCATCTGTCGGTAACAAATAAGACAGATGGGTATCCGCGGCTAAGCCAAACAGTAGAGACGGAAGGGGTTCAACGAATAAATAAATTTAAAATTGGATGTAAATAGGCGCCAGGTAAATTCAACCCACCAGATACCCTAAGTGACTTACAATATCAATAACTCACCAATTAATATTGGAAATAAAAGATAAAGATCCCCAATATGATTCATTCAGTAAACCTAACTTTACATGGGTTAATCGAGAACGCTTCTAAATCAACAATGCGATATTCAAACTATTATGCGATGTTCAAATATCGTTGAGGTCGGTGTATATAACCACAAATTAAATCAGCCATAAATTATGGTAGTAACGACACTTAAAAAAAAACTATAATACGTCAAGTAAAACTACCACGAAAATTGAGTAGGTGTGGGCGAAATCGTAAATACTGGAAGGTAAGACAATCTCGTTTGAGTCGCGTGAGCTCAGGCGTAGGCGCATCAGTGTCAACAGGCAATTGTGAAAGGAAGAAAACACCTCAATTTCCGTTTTACAAATGAAATCAAACACGTTTCCAACTAGCGGTGAATTCAGCCAGAAAGGCAATCACTATATCAAACAGGTATCAATAAACAAAAAGGGCAAACAATTATTTAAATAACTCAGTAATACACAAATATCCAAATGAACCAATTATAACTTGCGTGCTCCTTTTGGGCCACCCGGTATATGGTGTTAGACTACCCCGTAAATCGACGGAGGTGGATCACCCTGGTAGTACGGCGGAGATGGATCACGCTGTAGCACCGCAAAGGTGGATGGCCCCGTAGTTCGACAGAGGTGGATCACCCTGTTGCACCACCAAGATAGATCACCCTGTAGGACCCAACAAGATGGACCAGTAATGGATCACCAAATAAGACACCAAAGGTAGATGAAAACCTCCAAGTCTGGGGAGTTTGTCAACAAGGTGTTCTATACCCCAGGAAGGAAAACCCTACGAAAGGAAATTTCTATCAGAACGCAAACTTAACTATTATTCCCCTCCCAGTTTGAAATGAACTTTACTGACAACCCCATGTGTGTGGAGATTCAATATTTCAAAGGAGCACCCCTTACCCTCTAATCAAATGAATCTTCGGACAACCTGAATGTCTCTGAATCAATAAAATATCTACACCCCTATATACATCAATTATTATCATAATGAAGTCCCAGTTAATGTGTCAATTAAGTAAGTAATTTTCAACAGAATGCCAGATGGGACACTCTGTACCCAACGTGAATCAAATAGTTGATAAGAGTATAAAATAATTGACACTGGAGCAGAAGAACTCTAAGAATCTGTCTCGCCAAGACATCACTATGAAAATTCTACAAGTATTCAACTTCTACTTGAATCTAGTACTGAATGGGAATTTAAAATAGTCGATGTTTAAAATCTGTTATCGGTTTAAATGGTTAGATGACTGGATGAGTCAAATTGATCGAATGAAACATATAGGGGTCTTTTCCTCTACAGGAATCACTAGTGAATGTGGGAAAAAATACACTTACCCTGAAAAAGGGGTTTCCTTTCACAAGTTGGCACTGAACGATTTTTATCATGGATGCTTCAGCCTGCCTTTGAATAGGTTATACAGGGGCCCAATAATGATATCCATCTGGGACTCGATTCCGGGACAATTTGGATGATAACCTCAAATTCCTTTTGAAGAGATAATTATGGATCGAGACTAAAAATTTCACCACAGATCCAACTGCTCGATCCAAAATCGTTAAATACTGTTTTGCAGGAGTATTCCTATTTAAGGATTTTCGAAATATTTCAAAAACCCTGCAAAACCAGCAACATATCACCTTTGGTCCAGACTCACACCGTTTAATCTCAAATCTCCCCGTAACCTCTCAAATGTCATCCACTTGACGACAGCCCTCAGTTGCCGGTCCCTCTGCACGTAAGTTCCAACATATCCGGTAGATGTCACTTTCCCGTCATCTCTACGTTGACTCGTCCAAATAACTAATTCAATACTTGATTCCGTAGATTACCACAACACTACATAATTTATTTACATATAACCGATAACCTATTTACAATTAACGGAAATGCTCTCCTCGCTGAGTAGTCGAACCACTCGGTTCATCTAACCGAACGCGCTCCTGACAGACTTCCATGCAACACACCTGCACCCTTAACCAAGGTTAGCTGTCACGGCTGTCGTGTCAATGCTGTCAAGCACTGTGATGTTTACGAAAATGAGAATGTTTATGAAAGACCTTCAATATAACAGAAAAGGGAAATCGCTTCAGATACGACCCAATGAAAATGAGGTAAGGTGTCCCAATAATTGGCATAACATCTCAACAGAGTACTAAATTGATCGATATTGATTTCTGACCGTCAACATTATTCCAACCTGAACAGTGTCATTTTACAGATTTTCGATATCCCATCAAGTAAATATCGGTACAAGAGTTCAATAACTGGATTTGAAATACAGGACAACATAATGACGACTCCTAAAATCAAGTGGCCAGTGACTTGTACTATCGAAATGAATGAAACCGAAATTGCTCTTTATCGGAAGACATTAACTAAGTTCATTCACATTAGCGGCTCAAAACCTACCTACATTATAATCCTTTGCAAAGCATATCTACTGTTTCAATTATCAATTACCGAAATGAAAAAAATTGAGCTGAAATGCAACTGACTAATTCAGTTTGAAATATTTTCTCCTAATAATTTGCAGACTGAAACAAAATTTATGATGGGTAGTACTACAAATGATATTCATTATATTGTTACATAACTATTGTTTTTGTACCTTTATTGCAATCTACCTGAAATTTACTCTCACAATATAATAAGTGATTGGTAGGCCACCAGGTCATCTAATTTCACTTTTAATTGTCTTCAAAAAATGAGAGTCACCAATAAATGCTACATGTTCAGTGAAAGTAGTGAAATGAGGATTAGCTATGTAGTTCCTTATTAAATGACTTGAGAAAGGTTTCTGCTTATCGCTGATTTCATCTGGCCAATTCTGAATAGATTATGAGAAATGAAATTTTTTCAAACACATTTGCTTAGCAACTCAAATGTTGAATAGAATAATCACTTCTCTAGGTGTTCTTGTCTGTCAAATAAATATTCCTTTCGTTTTTCACTTCTACCGTCACTCAGTCAGTGAATGAAATAAATATGCAGAAAACGATAATTATTATTCATACACCTCATATACAAAATATACGTACTTTTTATGGCATTTTGATATTCTGAATACATAGACTGGAAAAATGAAAAATACGATGTTTTCATTTTAGCCGTTGCTATCATCATTATTATTACCAGAATTAAAAAATACCGCCTATAAAATTCATATGAATTTGTTTCCTATCTTTGGCCCTATCTTATTTCTAATATACATAAATAATATTTTTCCAGTGAGGGACTTCGAAGGCAATATAACTTCTTTTGCGGATGATACAGCATTAACTTTTGTCGGGAACACATGGGAAGAAGCTCATAGAAAGGCGGAGGTAGGTATAAATATAATTTTCCACTGGCTAAGTAATAACTTATTGAGTGTCAAGTCAAAAAAACTAAGATTATTGCATTCTCCTCAACAAAGAAGGATCAGCCCACTATTACAGAGATTAAAATCCATAAACTTACTTGCCAAAATGGTAGACTCCCTTGCACTTGTCCCTTCATAGAAAAAACTGATAAATAAAATACTTAGGGGTCCTAGTGGATCAGTGCCTTCGTTGGAATGATCATATTCACTATACGGAAAAAAGATTACGTAAGCTCGGAAGTAGTCAGTAGAAAAATGTTGCTTACTGTATATAATGCCCTGGCCGAGTCCATTTTACGGTTTTGTCTAATAATATGGGGAGAAATATTCAAATCTTCCTTGCGTAATTTAAAAAAGATCCAAAACTCGCTCATAAAAATTATGTTCAGAAAGAATAAATGCTATAATACTCAGGCATTATATGAAGAGAGTGGATATAGTGTAAGAAAACTGTATACTTTCCGTTGGATATTATGGACAGCCAGTGTTACGAGTACATTTGTTCAGAATATACAGTGTGACCCATTTTTAATGGAAAGACCCCCCTAAAATTTGAAGTTGTATACCGATTTTAATATTTTTTTTTTCAAATGTCAAGTACTGAAAGGTCTACCTTGGGATAAAATTTGAAATGTTTATTGAAGTTTCAGGGCATACTACGATATTTTCTCTTAGTCGAAAATCGGGATTTTTCATTAGCGATTTTTATTGAAAAAATCACTACGCCACCGGATTCAGAGTGCCTCTAAACAGGTATGATCAAAATTTCATGAGAAAATATTCATTATTAACAAAGTTATGACAACTCAAAAATTCGAAAACTCACACAGCTAACAGTCACAAAAAATACCCTATATCAACAGATATAGCTATGAGAATATTTTTTTATGATTTGAACAATAAAGTGCCGCCAGATGAAAAAACAAACAAATAGCGTAAATATTTTTAATGAAAGTATATAAGGGAATTACATTCAAGTTTTCACGCAAATTAACTAAAACTAAGACCTAATATTTCAATTTAAATCTTAGTTGCCATGGAAATGATATTACAGTTTGACACTTGTGAAAGATCAATGGCTTAACGAACATTTTCCAAACCGATGGATAGGCCGTGGTAGTCCGTTTATAGAGTGGCCACCCAGATATCCAGACCTCACAGTTTTGGACTTTTTTCTCTGGAGACTTCTCACACAAAAGGTTTACAAAAACCGCTCAAGAGATAGAAATGAACTTTGTGCAAGAATTCGACAGGTATGTGCAGATATTAGCCCCCAAGAACTAAGGAACGTTATCAGAAACATTCGTAAGCGCTACGACACATGTATCGAAATACGAGGTGGATTAGTAGAGGCTACTAGAATATGAGTGAGAATTAATTGTTGCACTGAATCGAATAATAATTAGTTATTAGTTACGTTTATTAAAATTTTTTGCTTTATTGTTAGTTGAATTGTGTGAATCTAATTTCGTTATTTTCATTAAAAATATTTACGCCATTTGTTTTTTTTTTCATCTGGCGACACTTTATTGTTGAAATCATGAAAAAAATGATATATTGTGACTGTTAGCTGTGTGAGTTTTCGAATTTTTGAGTTGTCATAACTTTGTTAATAATGAATATTTTTTCATGAAATTTTGGTCACACCTGTTTAGAGGCACTCTGAATCCAGTGGCGTAGTGATTTTTTCAATAAAAAATCGCTAATAAAAAATCCCGATTTTCGACTAAGAAAAAATATCGTAGTATGCCCTGAAACTTCAATTAACATTTCAAATTTTGTCCCAAGGTAGACCTTATAGTACTTGACATTAAAAAAAAATTTATTAAAATCGATTTACAACTTCAAATTTTAGGGGGGTGTTTCCATTAAAAATGGGCCACACTGTATATAAAACTCATTTACACACTTCTCAAATTGCAAAGGTTCCACGATGCCGACTCACCCACAATCAAAAATTCATTACATACATTGAACCAAAACTCTACAATTCTTTACCGTCGTCACTAAAATGTATCAGACGTTAAACTAAATTGAAAATAGAATTGAAAATCACAATTACCACAGATTGAAAACAATACTGGATAGTTGACTAATTCACCATACTGCAATCACAAGCAGTTGTTTCTGTATCTTCTTTCTTATTTGATGCTCTTGTTATGCTAAAAGACTGCTCATGATTTTGGTCGTCCTTCTAGGACTTCCCAGAACTAATTAGTAGGTTTATCTTAGTTTGTAAATGTATTGGATTCGTGGCTGTAATACAAGCTTGGCTTAGATAGCCACGATCCTTCATAGTTCTGTAAAATAAGGTGTAATGGTATATATTTTTTATTAATCTGAATTGAATAAATTTTGATTTCATTTGATTTTATTTGTTTCCCATAATTTTTGCTGAAATTATGACATAAGAATATGTCATAGTATCAAAATATTAAAATCTTATTCGAAAACGACACGACTTGATTTATCAATGTTAATCAAATAATACGAACAATAATTTTGGGCGAGTGTAGAAAAAATGAGTCAAGAGCACAGCATTATTCTGATAGGAAAATTCCTTTTCGAAAGTGAAAACTATCGAGGAGAGATACATACGTATAACAACCTACACAGTAGGGTTTGGTAAACGTCTGTTGGAAAACAACTACTTCCCCGGATAATATTATAAACAGCAAATTCAGTTGTGGTAGAAAAAATTTATCTACATGTTCAAAACCGCTCAACTCGACAGCAACAAACATTTTACGTACCATTTTATCGTTTGAACCACACATTCGATAGCTGCATTGCAAGAATATTAACGATTAGCCAATATAACGTTGATCTTGAGATGTTTAACATCTCCTTGCATTATTTTAAAACTTAATAAATACGGAATACTGTGCTTTAATGTTTTAGTGTATAGTTTATGGTAGTATATGTAGTATATGTTTTATTGTCGCTCATTATTTCTCGTCGTTTTAAACTCTGAAATTAACCCCTTTTAAATTTTAAATTTACCCCTTTGAAGCTATTCGTAGTTAGAATTTTTAATTCAGTACCTTATCTGATTTTATTTTGATTATAATTTAACATTGTAATTTATATTTTAAATGGGCCTGTCAGTAAATACATAAATAAATAATACCACGCTGGATATTGAATTATATCCGACCGACATTTATGCAAGATTCCTCACAGAGGCTTCATTATACTCTGTAACGTGTCCTACCCTCAGACGTTTTCCTTGTCACTGTACGTATAACAATGTACTTTTTAACAAGGAAATAATAAAAATTATTATTATTGATTATTATCAACCTTGATAGGAGACTGATGAATATACACATATCTCGGCTCGTTTCGAAGAGATTTAAGTTCCTTACTGGAATGAGGGAATCTATGATCTCATCAAAATTATGTGAAAAAGGAATATTTCCAAGGATCGAAGCAGCAATACTTATTCTTTCTATCGAAAAAGAGGTAGAACGGTGGTCGTTCGTTGCTTGGCCTAATCTCCTTCCGAGTTCATGAACGAATATTAAATGATGAAATAATTTATCATCTATCTTTTACAACATTTTTATCAGTATAGAAGTCAGAATTTCCTTTGTTCGAAATTGTATTTGAAAATTTCGATTTTGAACTAATATTTTGAAGTTACGATAAGATCTGAAAAAGTTGACATGAATTACACTTTTTATTTTACTTTTTATTTCAGAACCGGAAATAATTCCAAATCAAGAAATACTTTTCATTAATGAAAGCTTTCGACTTTTGACATTTGATTATGGCATCGAATTCAAAATTGATTATCTATACAGAAAACAGTTTCGAAACAAAATTTTATATTGGTGGAAAATATATAACGAAATAAAATCATGGTAATATTTTTTATTTTTATCATTATGGTATTTGAGTAACATTTAATCGTGATATTTTCACTGGACAGTTGACAATACCACAACACGTGCTCCGTTATGAAATAACTTTGAAGCGTACTGACTATATCAGTATGAAACTGCTGGAGGAAGCTATAGAGATGTATATACGTGGCGTACTCATGCATGTTATGACGATTACAACTTTTACAACTTTTTGAATCGTTATATCTCAAAAACGATGATCTACAATATTTGTCTGAAGTATTTTCATGATGAAACTTACTGTTTTGCTGAAAATCGCGAAAAACTCTTTATTTTTGACCTTTGACCTTGAATAACATTTTTTCCATGCAGGGAAGAGATGGGGAACTCTCAAATATTATTTTCAACTTGACCGGACTATATATAGCGAAACGGTTTTGTAAACTGCCCAATGGAAATCTCAGAATGAAGTATTACTCGAATAAGCTATGCAGGGAGACTCAACAAGATTTCCTCGGTCCATTGCTATCACAGGAAACAATTTTTTGAACTGCTCAATTTTTTTTTGGGTCATATCAATAAATACTATATTTTAAAATTATCATCTCGCATACTGGGTGATTCGGCCGAGCGTTGGCAACCAAAGTTATATTTTTTAAATAGAATATCCAGTATATGTTTACGTTATTCGATTCCATATTTTTTTAGCTCTACAAGGAATTTTTGTGTTAGACTCTCCATTGCGGCACTGCCGAGTTATTCCAGAAAAACCTATTTTGCTATTTTTTTAATTCACCACTCGCATGTCTACAGCAATTAAGTGGATTTTTTTAGGAATAATTTCTGGAATCTCAACTTTTGGAAACAATATATAGGGTGCTCGGTAAAACCGACAAACAGACATGATTCATGATGAAAAGGGAAATGAAAATTTCTATGTTTTTTTACCACTTTTATTTGTAACTAACGTTACTGCAGTTTCGTCCTATATGGACATTTTCAAACTTAAATAATAAACTAAGAATGATTCATTACATTCGCTAATATATACCATTCAGGTACTTGACTGAGTACTTGAATTTACAGTTCACAATGTGCCAGTTCAATGTTTTCAGAAAACCTAGCTATACAGACATCACCATCCCAAGCGATTCTTTCCATCCAGACAGTCATAAATTAGCAGCCTACAATTCAATGCTGCACAAAGCATTCTCACTGCCTTTGTCTGCAGACAATCTAGCTAGGGAAATTGATACAATTACACAGATAGGTCATAATAACGGTTTCAACGCAGATACTATCCAGAAGTTAGTCAGGAAACGAAGCCGGAAATTCACTTGCAGATTAATATATCCTCAGGTCAAACAACCAGAAATCAAGAAATGAGTAACGCTAACATATTTTGGAGAAAGAACAGAAATTATCGCAGGTTTTTTCGGAAAAAACAATGTGGAAGTAGCATTCCGACCACATGCCAGGTTATCTCATTTTCTTTTCAATGCCAAAGATAAGGTCGACAAGTTGGAAAAATCTGGAGTTTATAAGTTCATGAGTTTATAAGTGTCCGGAGTGTAATAGTGTTTATGTGGGACAATGCGGACGAAATTTCCAAAAACGGTATGCTGAACATGAAAGGTCCTTCAGACTGGGAAAAAATGATTCGACGTTTTCAAACCATTCCTTGGCATGCAACCACAAGTTTCCGAATCTAAACGATACGGAAATTCTGCACTATGCAAGGAAGGGTTGCAAACTCAATTATTTCGAATCCTTGGAAATTCACAAGCATAAACATTGCGGGTGCAACCTGTTAAATGACCAAATCGATTTAATTTACCCTCCGGTTTTTAAATTGGCACATGCGCATTGTGAACTGTAAATTCAGGTACTCAATCTAGTACCTGAATGGTATATATTAGCGAATGCAATGAATCATTCTTAGTTTGAGAATGTCCATATAGGACGGAACTGCAGTAACGTTAGTTACAAATAAAAGTGGTTAAAAACATAGAAATTTTCATTTCTCTTTTCATCATGATGTCTTACCATATAGTAACGGCTACATCCATCAATTTATCAGACATAATTCAACTTTTTCAAATGGAATGAAATGTTGAAACATTTTATCAGAGGTATACTATACAAAAAACTGATATTTTACAAATTATACCAAGTTTCAGTAATTGTTGTAACCACAAAAAAATGTATGTTTTTACGTTCACTTACTCAAATTTGTTTTTCGAATATTCAAAGCAATCTAGTACATTTTTCATACCATCTAGTGATAGTTATCAGCGGTTTCAACGGTAAGAAATGTGTAAGAAACCTAAATAATATTTATACTGCCTTTTTCTTCAAAAACCCAATTATACATGACTGACATCAAAAAATGAATATCGGAATTTGTCAATAACGCCATGTATTGAAGTTTCTTTCCCGTGTAGATTTAATCATTTTCATTATGTAGTACACCGGTCTACAGCATTTTTGCGCACGGGTTACACATACATCACTTTCTTTGCTTATATGCCTAGAAACAAGAATTAGAACAAAAAAGAGTTCTGAATTTGCTTTTATATGTAAAAAATGGAAAATTCAAATCAAGTAAAATACATAAAAATTGCACACAGAGATGATTTATTGAAACAGACCAAACATAGATTTATGATTCATTCTTACAATAGAAGTTTTGAAATAGAGTCCGAATGTTTAAAAATGAACAGTTTTACTTTTCCTGTCATGTTGAGTGGAAGTTTCTCTTATTAACCCCCAAATATAGTCCCCCATCATGTTTTCATTATACTGGCCTTGGTAACGTTTCTCTCTTGATGAAAGCATTCCCCTTGTTCTTCTGAATAAGCTCCCATATTATCTTTAAATTTATCCAAATGTGAATATAACATGTTTATCTTTAGAGACATTCTACATCCGATGACGGAAAAATTCATAATCATGTCAGTGATCAGCTCGTCATAATTTTCAGCTCTATGGTTTCCAAGAAAACCATGAACTACTGCCTTAAAACTGTTCCAGGCTCTTTTCTCCTCATTGCTAAGTAATTGCGGGAAAATGTTACAATCCATAATTTTTTTTTATTTGACGGCCTACAAAGATTCCAGCTTTAATTTTCGCCTCTGAAAGTTTCGGGAAAAAATTCTTTAAATATTTGAAAGCTTCAGACTCATGATTCAGAGCCTTTACAAATTGCTTAATAAGTCCCAATTTGATATGCAATAGCGGCATTAATATAGTCTCAGGATCGACAATTGCTTCCCATTTAATATTGCATTTTTCCACTTCGTACTCGGTACGTACAGGCCAATGTTTTTGGCGGTAGTGAGCGGCATCATTTCTACTATTCCACAGGCAAAGATAACAGGAGTATTTAGTATATCCACCTTGCTTTCCAGTAAAAAAACACATCATCTTGAAGTCTCCAATAACATCCCACTTATATTCCGTATATTTAATTGCAGTTAATAGCATTTTAATACTGTCATAATTTTTTTTGAGATGTACGGAGTGTGCCAGTGGAATAGATGGAAATTTGTTTCCATCGTGTAGTAAACAGCATTTAGGCTTTTTGTTGAACTGTCAATAAAAAGGCGCCATTCAGTTGTATGACCGCGTCCATCTTCCTTACTGAAGAAACAAGAAAATTCTGCATGACGTTTTCTTTGATGGGATATTCGAACATCAGAATGAAGTAAATTCCATTGTTTTAACCGCGATGCTAATAATTCTGCTTTACTTTTTGGTAGATTTAGGTCTCTTATCAAATCATTGAGTTCTTCAGAGTTGATGAGGTGTGGTATGTTTGGTTCAGATTAAAAAAAAAATCGGAATGTTTGGATATAGATGAACACTGTGATTGATGGCTGTCTTGAGAGAGTAGTTGATTTTCTAACACAGGCGGTGCAGGTACAGGATTTTTTTCTGTATGTGGTATTGGAGCCAATGTCGATGGTAGATCAGGATAATATGTTTTCTTTGAGTTTTATTTAAATCGAAAATGAATACGTAGGGGTAGTCCTGTGGAGTGGCCACCCAGCTAACCTGACCTGACCAAAATGGATTTTTTTATGGGGGTATTACAAATGGATTGTCTACCAAACTCCTCCAACATCTATAGGAAACTAGAGCTTTAACCCTTTGACTTAAGTAAATCGAGTTTTTATTAAAACTTTCAGTGACTTACTGTTTATTGGAGTCAACTGGACATGAAAATACAAGAGTCGAGTGAAGAAAAAATGGTTTTTGAAAAGGCAAAGTGAAACCACTTTGCCTTTCGAGTTCGAAAACAATAAACAAAAATAATTTATTGAAAAAATTTAACAATACATAGTCGGTAATTATGACATTTCAAACTTTATGAAATTCGACAAAACAATTTTTATTGGCTGACTTGCACAAAGCCACTTTGCACACACTACAGCTCCATCTGGTGCGATGCGGTTCCTTAGCACTCCTACAATGTGCACAACGCCTTGATATTCCATACTCGGGCATGTGCTTGAATTGATCACTTCTAAGTTCCTTGGATACATGAACTTTGAAAATGCTCTGGGCAGGCGTATCTGATAACCTTCCTAAGTTTTCTTTCAATGAATTGGCTCCAACCAAACCAGATACAACTTCGAGACGGAATTCCTTAAGTTTCATTTTATTTCCAGTTTTCTCTCTGAACAATATATAAGAGTTTACAATGGATGTGTCCAAGAAATGGCAAAATAATCGGTGCCACCACTTCCGACTTTTCCTATCTATAGCATAGTAGGATTTCAGCATATCAGCTTTGTTAACGCATCCCATACAACGCCTATAGTCTTTTATAGCAATGGGGCAAGCTATTTCCGTGATTGTGCCATCTTTTTCTCTTTTTCCAACAGATGCATTGTTTGTAGGAGAATGTATAGTAGAGAGAAGCGTAACTACTCTCTTGTCCTTCCACTTTATGCATGAAATCATATCTCTCCTACTAAACCAGTCCGAATGGCCACGAGATAAACTTTTATCACTTTGGAAGTGAATGGGCAAATTTTTTCTATTCACTCTAACAGTACCACAACAGAATATATTTCTCTTGTACATTGTCTGCACGAGGTTCACGGTTGTGAAAAAATTATCGAAGTAAATATGATAATCTTTATTTTCTAATCCTTCCGTCATTGTATGAACAATGTATGTGGTATTGGAGCCGATGTTGATGGTAGATCAGGATAATATGTTTTCTTTGAATTTTTACCTTTGAGTGGATTTACAATACAAAAATAACAGTCGGTGTGATGATCACTGGGTTCCCTCCAAATTCTCGGCACTGCAAACTTCATTGCTCTTTTTTCACCTCTGTACCAACCTACAGTAAAACGTAACATATATTGTAGGTTGTATGTTGAATAACCTAATCAATGTTATTGAAAAATAATAATTAATGCATAAAAAAAGAGTAAATGAACTCACCGTCCAGAATGTATCTGCAAGAGTTACATGATACATGTGAAGCTCATTTTTTGTCTTGATTTTTTACAGGTAGATAGAAGTAAGCTTGATATGCCTCGCAAATCTTTAAATTTGTACTAAAATCAAACTTTTTCTCTCTTACTTTAATAAATTTGCCGCAAATATAACAAAAGGAGTCAACGTCTCGTTTACAACTTCTCGAAGCCAGTTTCTTCAGCTTGATACAATGAAAAAAAATGAAACACGTTGTTCCGCTGTAATATGCAAACACATACTGTTGTCCGCAACGAGCGACGCAAAAAATACTGCCTCCCGCCCTCTTACCTCTCTTTCGACAGCGATAGCGCGCCAAGACCGACATTGAACTGGGCGCGAAAATAAGAAATGCTGAAATTGCTATTACCTACTTCTTAAAAAGCAAATATTTTCGATTTGTAATTGCATTTATTTATATATATTTGTTTATATAATCAGAATATAATAAGTAAAAACCATGCGCAGGAAAAAAAAATTGTTGACTGGTGTTATGTATTGGACGATATGGTGCAAATAATCTATGCTTTGGGAAAAAGAGTCGGAAACTGCCTCCTTGCATCTAGGATTTACAAAGAGAAGTTCCCCGAAAAAAGACAACCAGATGGAAGGGCATTTCAGCCTCTAAAAACAAGATTTGAAAGAACTGGTAATGTTAATAAAGAGAAGTTCGAACGTGTCTGCCCTGTAACAAATGAAGAGAGTACATTTCAAATTGCTCTTCACCTTGTTGAAAATCTTCATGTGAGTACCCGAGACCTGATCAAGGAATTAGGATTTCCTCAAACCAGCGTGTCTTGAATGATACGAGCAAGCACATTTCATCCTTACCACATGCAATTAATGCAAGAGTTAAGAGGAAGACATTTTGAAAAATGTGTTCAATTTTGCCGATGGAACTTAAAAAAGATCAAACAGGAAATTTATGTTTTCGATTTCGTGTTATTTTCTGATGAAGCGACTTTTCATAAAAATGGAACTATGAATCGGCATGACATGCATTATTATGCAACGGAAAACAACCATTTTGTTCGTTGCCTGAACCATCAACAGCACTGAATTTTTGGGGTGGAATCCTCGAAAAAATAGTTATTGGTCCGTATTTTTTCGATGAGCAGCTCACTGGAAGAAAATGTGTAATATTTCTTTGACATGAGTTTTCGAATTCATTGGACGGGGTTCTATATGGAACAAGACTTAGAATGTAGCTACAACAAGAACGTGCACAATCATATTTCAAAACTGAGGTACAGGAATACCTCAACGATTATTTAAATCGAAAATGAATAGGTAGGGGTAGTCCTGTGGAGTGGCCACCCAGATAACCTGACCTGACCAAAATGGATTTTTTTATGGGGGTATTACAAATGGATTGTCTACCAAACTCCTCCAACATCTATAGGAAACTAGAGCTTTAAGGGAAATCCCAGAGGATACGGTGAATTGTGTAGAGAATTCATTTTAAAAAAGACTAACATTATGTGTTGGAGAAAATAGTCGCTTTGAACATCTTTTGGACTCCACTATTCAATAAAAAATTCAGGCGTTATTGTTCATATTGAAAAAATTTTAAGAAAGTGAACGTAAATAAATGAACTTTTTGTGATTACAACAATCAATGAAACCAAGTATGATTTGTAAAATATTTGTTTTTCGTATAGTATACCCCTAAGCACCCTACATTTTGTTTCCGAAAGTTGAGATTTCCAAAATTATAGTTGATGTTGACTAACTATTCCTTAAAAAATCCTCCTAATTGCTGTAGACATGCCGGTGGTGAATTAAAAAATTATTGTCTGCAAAATAGGCTTTTCTGGAATAACTTGGCAATGCCGCAATGGAAAACAAAAATTTCTTAGAGAGTTAAAAAAATATGGAATCGAATGACGTATTCATATATTGGGTGTTCCATTTAAAAAAATATAACTCTGGTTGGCCACGCTTGGCTGAAACACCCAAAATGCGATAAAATACTTTTTAAAGATAGTATTTATCGATATGACTGCGAAAAAAATTGAGCAATTCGAAAAATTGTTTTCGCTGATAGCAATGGACTGACGGAATCTTGTTGACTCACCGAGCATAGAGATTGCTTATACTCGTCTGCTCGATTAGACACGTTCAAGATACCTTATAGTTTCCAACCTAAAACTGGGTCAAAAAGCAGGTCAAGGTGATGAGTGTATTTCGAATTGGTGTCGTCCTAAAATTGTGTCAGCCTTTAGACAGCTGGCGTCGACACACACTATATTCAACCTATCTAGCCTTTGAATAGTCTGAATCGTCTTTCATTCCGACAATCTAGGGCTGAAACTATTCAATTCGATGAACAGATTTAGAAAGAGAAAGTAAACAAGAATGCGTTGGCCTAGAAACACACATCGAAGTAAGCGATCAGTAAAAGTGAAAGCAATTGTTTTGCTTTCCTCGCTGGCTATCGGGGCAAATGTGCCTTTAAAATGACTCGATTCATTTTAATGTCAGTCCACCATTGAATTATTGTAGAAACTTTTGTGTGGGAGAGAGCCTTATAGAAAATTGCCCTTGCTCTGTAAAGTCGTTTTCTCTTTGTGACCCACAATGATGAGATAAAAATTGGATTGGATTCGTGTAAAGAAATCGTGAATGTACACTATCGTTTGGTTGGTTTATAGACAGTTTTCTTTTGTTTTTATTCAAATGTACAATGAGGATAAATGATCGCTGGTTTGTCACGAAACTGGAATTTCACTTTGAATAGTACGTTGGAAAATTATCTCCTTGCTTATAATTCTTTGAGTCAAACTATTTGAATACCCATTTACTATAACTGATGTAGGTACTAGTACTACTAGATATGTGTCATCTATATATCTCCTTTTTTGATCCAAAAATTGTACATTAATTGAATAAAATCATTACATATGGTTTCATTTTTCACTAGGTAACTAGGTAAAAAAGTAACAATGTACGAGTATGTTAAAGAAGCGTTGTTTTGATGACAATCTTAGCTTTTATCATTTTCTGTGATATTTTTTTGTTTTTCGAAGTGAAATCTTGAAGGCTGAGTTAATTTGGAGTATGGAATATTGAAAGTGAAGTAGCAGGTCATCTGATAAGTATCAGTATTCATTTCGCACAAGGCTATAGATTACTCGTAGGATCTAGGGCGCAATTGTCATCTCTCTCGACATTCATTTCCGTTTATAGCCAAAATTCAGGTCATGAACATTCGGCAAACTCTCTAAAAGTCAAAAGTAGCATAGAGAATGCCGTCACTTTTTCTTATTTGTTATTATTACGAAATATCTGTGAATGTTATAATCATTGATACCTCTGTTCATTGTTTTCTATTGAAATTGTTCTGTGGGAAATTGTACTTTCAGATAATTATAATTCTTCACGGGTAGACACATAATTTCAATTTTGGTATTTTGGTAAGAATGATCAGATCTTCGACAACAAACCATCGTTAATAATTTAATTGAAAATTATGTGTACCTGATTTTTTATATAGAGACCCTACGATATAATAAACTTTGACGTTGTTATGAACATCAAACACAATAACAAAAATTGATATCATGGCAATTTACAGATCTCCCTTCACTTGCCCGAAAATGTTTAACAACTGTCTCTATGATTTATTTGAAACGCAAAACGTCAATATCTCTACAAATATTTATTATTCTCTGCCATATATCCAATATTGAAGCAGGTTCAGTTTCGCACATAATTTGCCTCAAATAGCCCTATGAAAAAAATGCAAAGGTGTCAAATCTAGCAACCGGCTGGCCATTCTGTAGGACCTCGCCGGCCAATCCAACGACCGGGAAAACTGGTATCCAAATAGTTTCTTACTTATCTGGAGTAATGTGGTGGTGCTCCATCTTGTTGGTATACAATATCCATATTGAATTCATTAGGATTCGCTTCAACGATTTCAGTGATGAGAGGGTCAACAGTAGGTTGCAGCATATTCAAATATAGTTCCTATGTTAGATTTTGATGAATAAATAGAGGTCCTACAATATGGTTTCCCAATATTCCTGCCGAAACGTTAATTTTTTCTGAATATTGGGTATGTGTTTCCCGGAAAACGTGAGGGTTGGGGTCACTCCAATAACGACAATTTTGTCTGTGAACATTGCCGTTTAAAAAAATGTACATTCGTCACTAAAACAAGTATTGTGGAGATAGGTAGGATGCCTTGCAATGGTTTCCGTCATGATTTCGCAGAACTCTGTACTTCATTCAGAGTCATCTTCAGTTAATTGGTGTACCATTTCAATTTTGTATAGATGATACCTATTCCTCTTCAAAAGACTCCACACAGTAGAAGGAGACACCTCACAAACATTCGCGATGGAATAAGTAGATTGTTCAGGATTTACTACCATGTCACCAATTATTTGCACTTGCTGTTCTTCCGGAATGGATGGATGACCTGGAGACTTTTTGTTATGTATACTACCGGTAGTTGTGAATTTGGATACAAGTTCCCTCGAATATTTTCTACAAATAGGACGATTAGGAAAACGTTCATTGAAAATCCTTTCGGTCTCGTGAAAGTTACGCGTCGCACCGTAAATAAAAATCACTTCAATTTTTTCTTTCAATGGACGGGAATTGACCATCACAGAGATTGTTGACGTGGTACCTTTCTACTAGTAAAACCGAAAACTAAATGAGAATATTCTAACTGAACAATGATGTTCATTGTCGTACCGACATTTTTTTTTTTTCGTTTTTATAAACAAAAAATAACTTAACTAACCTTATCTGGTTTTTGGAATTGCCATATGGCAGATAAAAAGGAATATTTCTAGGAAAAAACTCTCCGTCTGTTTTTCTGTTAACTGGCGGTCGCAACCCCTACGTACGACAACCCTCAGGAGTCGAAACTTGTGTGAGCTAAGGACTAACGAGGTCTTACCTTTCAACATGTGATTCCTAACGCGGCTTGGACGATAGCAAGTGAAAATCGATCGATCAGCCTAGGGCTTGAACCACCAACCGACACAGTGGTCGATTTGGGTGAGTGAACAAAGCACCCACGTCGAACCGACCGGCTACCGACCGACCGATATTATTGTGTTTGTCTTCAGGAAATTATTAAATGTTCCATCATTTTGTAGTAGGTGAAGATATCGACTTCATATTCTAGGGTTGTGAAGTATTCGTCAGGAGCTTCAAAATGATTTGTCACAAGACCCCCCTTTTTAGCCTAGATGGCGCCCAGTCGCCATCTTGAAAATTTTATCTGTCAATTTCACTTCAAAATAAAGAAGTATTTATGCAATAATTTCATTATC